TGTAATTAGTGATATCTGAAAAGCAGCGCTCTTTAGAATTTAAACGTGGTTCTTATTTTTTTCTGCCAGGTCAATAAATAAGAGTATATTTAATGACAATTTTTAAAAATATAATCAGCTTGCTGTTGTCTGTTTTTATTTAAAGAAAGTTGATTTTTCATATATCACTAAAATATCACATTGAAACTCCATTCGTTATCCTCCCTCATTCATCCGTTTCACTTCTGACGATTGAATTTTCTTAGTTGCTTGTTTGAAAAGTATCAAATCACTCATAAGCTATAATAATTTTTTATCTATGTAAAAAAATCCTACCTTTGTTACATTTTTGAAATTCTCATTAATCTACATCACTATGAAGAATTAATTAAAAATAAATATATTATCTTTCAAGTTTCATTTTTGCTGATCGTTAACTTTTAACCGGACAAATCATTTTTCTTAATTTAAATTTAAATGAACAAAAATATAAATTTGTTTATAATTAATCTAAAAAACAACTATTATTTTTTTTTCTGTAATGAAATTATTATTCTTAAAAGTGCTTAGTACGCAAAGAATGAATGTTTTTAAAACTACACTACCCTATGATAATTCAAGTGACGCATTCAGTTTTTGACATCAGTGATTTCAATTTTCAATCTTGTTAAATGACATTTGTGGAAAACTCTTTATTTTGAACTTTTTTTTAAAAAAGGTACAAAAACTACTGCAAGCTTTTTTAAATTTTCGAAATATTAAAATCGGACTTTTTTCATTACTTACTAAATACGATTCACTACAAAAATAGGAAAAATGTTTTTTTTTTAAATTTTTTCATTGATGCACAGTAAGAACCACTAGATCTACTAGAACTAAAATAGTAACTTTAAATGCCCATATCTTGTGCAATTTTTAATTATTTTTCTTCAAATATTCAAATTATATATTTTTTTTTATTAATCTAAATGTTGGTTGTATTTCAAATAAAACTTATATCAGTTATAATATCGCTTTCAATGTCAGTTTAGAAAGTATTACGTTATTTCTTAGTTATAGTATTATATTAACTATATGAAAGATTCTTTTACCAAAACTATTTTAAATGCGCATTTCAAAATATGTTTTGTATAATACCTTTCCTTTCAAAGTTAAGCTTTTTCGCAGCATTTTATCCTTAATGCATGTGCAAGACATACATACATCTTTATAAAGTCATAATTCTGGGTGCTTAATTCTTGGAATGGTTAAAAAAATATTATTTTAAAAATCTAACTATATATTTATAGTTAAATGAAAAGAATTTATATTCTTCAAAAAAGTCTGAGAACGTGACTTCAGATTTTAAAAGATTATGTTAAGCAGAATCAATTAGCGTAGTATATTATTCAGAGAAAGAAATTATTTTTCATTTTATTTTATCATTCTTCTATTTATTCAAAAATTAATTCTGTTTTCTGAAAAGTCAAAATAACTTTCATGCCGGTCAACTAAGAAGCGAAGGAAAAAATCTTATTTAAATTATGATACCATACGCATAGAGTTGGAATATTTTATATGGAAAATCAAAAGAAAATTGTCAATGTTTGTGATCCGAAATGATAGAAATTTTGGTGCGCGTATTTGTAATTTTTAACAGCCTTGATAAGACTAAATTAAGAAATATTATTGTGCTTTTTTATTACAATTACATGATATTATAATTCAACTTGAATGGATTTATTTAATTTAAATCCTTCGAAATGCTACAACAAAGTCGTACCATATTATGGTTAAGTATTAACATTATGGTTCAAGTTTAAACCAATTTTTCAGAAAGCGTACAATAAAAAGCAAGAATTGAATTTAAGTACCCAGCCTTTCAAATGATAAAGCATTACCACACTTATGTGCAAAGGGTTTGATGGCTAAACGCCTTCAATGTTATAAACATGGTGCAAAAGTAAAAAAAAATATTATTACGATGATATTATTTATTTTTATACTTTTATTTAACCCAGAACTATTTCTAAAAGAATTTACTTTGCGCAATGACTGGATAACTAACAAAAACCCAAACTAAATTGTATAAGTTTAGTTTGTAGTTACACGTTACAACAAATTACTTAATGTTTGAAATGTAACAGTTGAATGTACTATATTGAAAAAAATTGTGCAATAAGTTCAAATGGTATATAAACACGTTTTTGAACTCTAGTATTTATACATCGTACAATTGGATGACCGCAACTAAAAGCTTCTAAAATATCAATATTCATAATGAGAGTAAAATAAAACAGCAAAAATATCGTCTTTTAATTTAATTTTTTCAAATGCCTTGAAATAAATCAATTTCAAATGTTAAATGTATTATTTATACATATAATTTATGTATATTATTTAACCATATCGTTTAAGCTTATTCTACAAAAAAAGCTAGCATCAACAATATAAATTTATTTTTCTATAGTTCATAAGACTTTGGCTGATACTCAATTTTCCATAACAAGCTATAGAACTCTTCTAATGCCTTTACAACTAATTAACTTCTTAATTTATTATAAATAATGATACTTTAACTAGTTATTATTAACTTCTTTTGAAAGAAATCATTTTTCACAATCAAGCATTTTAACGAAGTCAACAATTGTTAAACGCCTTAATTAAAACAGAACAACTTGACATAATAATTATTATTACAGATTTAGGTACCCTGTTAAATTTTCAAAAGGCAGTTTTTATTGTTGGCACTTAGAACATTATTTCATTAAACGGTTAATGAGTAAAGGAAGCGCTGAAATGAAAAAAAGAAAATTTCAGTATTTTTTTATTGCTCGCTCACAGAATACGAAATCATTTAAAATTGAATGCCAAATTATTTTTATTCATGTGATAAAGTATTTCATTGCTTGAAAAAAAAAATGTTCGAATCATTTAGTTAAGTCATCAATCTTCACGTCTTAAAATCATTCAGATAATAAGTCAGAAAGATTTTTCTTGAGCGAAAAAATTATTGCTTCGAGAATAAAGGAAATATCACAAAGCATTTCTTAATAATTAAAATACATTTCTACATTAAAAGTAACACAGAATGGTTAAAATTCAATCTTCAAGAGATAGCAGCATTTTCATATTGTTTTTTATTTTTAAAAATTCAAATAGACGCACAGTCCACCAGTTGACAAATACCAAATTACAAAAATACTGTTAGGTATTCAAAGTTTTCGAAAACAGGCATAAATGTAAAGCTGAAAAGGGAAAAGAAACCTCTTTTTGCATCGAGAAAAAAGCATGGTCAAAATTATTACAATAAGGTAAAATTTAAGATGTTTCATGATCTATTGAAACACCAAAAATTTAGGTAATTTTTTCCAAAGAGCTTTGGGTAATTATTTTGTCAAATTAACAATAAAATATAATTTTATAACATAGGCTAAAATTTGGTAAGTATAGTTTGATTTCGTAATTATATTATGATTCCCTAGAGCATGGCATAAATCAATTTATTCGTTTAAATTTACTGTTTTCAGTTTTGTACTTATTCACTAAATGAGTTGTAATAAGAACTGTAATTTTGGAAACATAAATTTCCGGTAAACCGTTATCATAGGAGAGGAAAATTTCCAAATGAATGGTCTAAATATTGCATATTTCGTTTTTATTAACCAGAATTATGTTTTTTACTAGAAATCCAGAAATGTCATTTCCAAACAGTACGGTAATTTCACCTCAATTTTTTTTCTCCCTGTGTAAAAATCATAGTATTGAGTTTCTTTATAGGTCTTAACCTATAGGCCAGCGTGAAGGCATAATTTATTTTCTTTTTAAAATTACAATTGTAATAAGAAAAAAAAGGCAAGCGTTTTATTTTAAATGAGGAAACTGCATAAAACGTACAAAATATATTTTAATCTTTCATTAACATATTGCTTTACAAACTACCAATATGATATTAATTAGTATTGTTGAGTGCAATTATAATAAGAAAATTATACATTTTATGAAGAAATTTTTGTTGACTAACATCTTTAAAAAATTGTTTGAAGAAAATTCAGTTAACATCAAAATAAAAATACTTTGCAAAAGATAAAGTTTTAAAATACAATAACACTTTGGAACAAATTCTAATATTATTATACTTGTTAAATAGATATTAATAAACAAAAACATCTCATTATAATTAAACGAAATTTCTAAAAAAAATATACGTCTTCGATTTACAAAAAAGAAAGAGCATTTCTAATGATTAATTACCTTTAACAAAAAAAAATTGCCAGTTAATACCTGGCAGAAACAATTATTCATAAATGAAAGACATGCATGTGATTAATGTGGTAGTAAATATTTGCATTATGCCAATGAATATTTTGTTCTTTTACCTATCACTTTAAAATTTATTACGCTTTGACTTTTAAATTGAAAATTAAACATTTGCAGAATAAATATATTGCAGTAAATGGAGCTAACTTGCAAGTGCAGAATACAGCTTCTTAGAAAAAACTCCCTTAAAAGGAATACTTCATAGACACAGCATAAATTGAAAACAAGAACATATAAATTGTGTATTCCAACATATGATAAAGAGATGAACAGTTTGCAAACATGAAACATGCCGCAAAAAATAAAAATACTGCATAAAAGTTAGTTATGTTAAAAAATATATATTATAATTATATAAGTGCATAAAGGATAGGAATTATTAATTCTATTAATATGTATCATCAGAAATAATTATAAGACTACGTATTAAGTATACATAACAGTTGTTTTAAATGTGTGTACATATATATATATGTATATAATTATGTGTAATAAATATTATTAGACCTGAATCTATATAGTTAGTTTAAAAACAATTTATGGATTTTAAATATACACAAAGAATTTTAATTACTATTAAACAAGCGCGTATAATAATTTTTTCAAAATATTTACTTTGAAATTCTAAAGAACACTATATCTCTTCTGTTTGCAAATACTTTTTAGGACAATAAGAATAAATTATAATAACTTTTCTGAAAAAAAATTAAATTTTTTCTTACTTGAAAGTTTCCTTTTCTGAGAAAACTGTTGTGGAGAATAAAAGATATAATAGGGAAAAACGAAGAAAAAGCTTCATCTTTAAATTACGATGAAAATATCGAAGGGATAAATAGTTAATTACAGCAAATAAACTTCTTGCCTTGAAATATAAGGCATTACAGCTAACCAAAGAGTAATATTCAGACTACAGCCGTAGTGCTCGTATCACGTGCAATCGTTTGGCCAAAATCGCCTTTAAACCGCCACTTTTCTCCAAAGATAGGTTGTACAGCGCGCGCGCATTTGACGTAACAGCAAGGAGGAGGGACTTAAAAAGCACTCTTTTCTAAAATTGTTTTTTAAGTTCATAAGCCAGTGGAATAGTTCTTACTGATTCAGATGTAAATCAAATACGGTTTTTCATTGATAGAAAATGATGATCGAAAATACATCATTATTATACTGATTTTTATTATTGTATATCGAATATTGTATTTAGAATTGTTTTTTTTTATTTTTTTATTTTTAGTTTTAGATATTCTACTATTTTGAAATTCGATTTCTCAAGATCTATTCAATTGATTTTACCCAAATTTTGTATTTTGCTAAGTAAAATTACAAACTATAAAATGGACAATTGCATACTTTACAGTTCAAATTTTTTTTCCACCATTATTAAATAAAATAATAGAAAAATAATGAATATTTACTAACATTTATTTTTTACACAGAATTTTCTTTGGAGAAACTTATAATTGCGTGAATCGAATTTTATAATTGCGTGTAAAAAATTTTCAAAAAAGATCTAGATATGGCGAAATACGCAAAAAGTAAAATTTAACATTAAGGGATCCAAGCTTTGGATAGCTCTCCTGACCAAACTATTTGGAACATATGTCTTGAATTGCGGCTACCCCTTATGTTTTGGGGGTCAGAAATCCGAATCCGTTGAAAAAAAGGCATGCTTATTCAAAGAAAGTACGTTTTTGTGCCAGATTTCGTAACTGAAGATATCGTTTGTACTCATGACCATTTTCTAGATTACGTCCTGGGACCATTAAGATTGAGTATTATAATGTGAAGATCCAATCATTAGATCAAAAGTTATTCACAGTGGTCCATTTGTTTTGGCGCACTGTACAATGCTCAAAATAAAATAGAGAACACCAGAATAATAATCTAATTTTTGTATTTTTGCGTACTACTATGTTATCTTAATGTTACAAGATATTAACCTTAAATATGATACTTAGTTTTTGAAGAACTACTTCCCTTGAAGGAAATAAGGCTATTTTCTTAGAATTTGACTGCCAATATCTACTTATGCCAACAGTGACCCACAAAGGTATGGTGCTCTAATGAAAAAAAATAACACCAAGTATAACTTTCTATCTAACTGTCGGATTTCACGCACTTGTACTCAATTTTTATAGCTTAAGAGCTTACTTCTAAATATTTTAATTAACTTGCGTAGACGATATGGTCAGTTACGAAAACATACACAGAACGTATTTTCTCTGAATTAACGTATCTTTTTTTTCAGTAAACTTGGACTTTTGCACCTCAAAATTAGGGGGGTAACTGCCCTCTGAAAATTATGATCCCAAATTTTATTTAAAATTTCATGCCAGTATTTCTATAAAATAAATCTTTAAATTAAATTTCTGTATTGTGATGTATGTAGCTTTCTGAATATTTCTAGAAAATAAATTACATTAGGTATAAAAAAAGGTATCGTCATTACAGTAGGCATTAAAAGGTATAGTCCAGTTAANTTTCGTAAAATATAGATTTTAATAGTACCTTTTGAAAGAGTCATCTTTACTACCTTTAGTTTGTTTTATTTTCCCATTATTATTATATGATTTTTTGCTATCTAAGTATTTCCCGTATTTTACGTTTTCCCGGATTTTACGTTTTTTTTACCCAGTCCCCTGAGAAACGTAAAATCGGGGTTTCACTGACACCAAATATTTTGCACCAAAGTTGGTGTAATGCAGCACCAAGGCTAATTTTTGGTGTAATCAAATATAAAGGACAGTTCCTGGTGCTGTGAAAAAACAGGAATGTTCTTACAAATTCTCGCCATTTCATAACCGATCTACTGATAAAGATGAACGTACATCAGAATCGGCGTTTTTGGAATCGAAAATAATTCACATATAATGCGAATGAACGGAACTTTGTTATTAGCATTCTCTATTATAGGAGTTTAGATTTAGTTACCAGCTTTAAAGTGTATATAGAACCTCGATTTGGTGTTAACTTCAAATAAAGTGCATTTCAGACAATTTTTCAGGATGTTCAGCACCATTATTTGAAGAGATATTGCACCATAGATTTTATAAAGTGTAAATAAAAATGTGTTAAATCCATACCATTTCCTATCAAAGCCTTGAACTGGGTAACAATGGCACTATAAAATATTAAAATGGTTAAATATTAAAAAAGTGCTTTACGAATAATGATCTCTTGTTTTTGTGTTATATTGTTGAATTAGTTTTTTTTAAGTAAGTAAATTATTATAATAATTTGGGCAGTTAAAGAAAGATAAATTATTATAATAATTTGACCAGTACTGCATTAATGTAAATGATTAATGATCGTATACTGATGATGATTAATTGCAGATACAAACTTACTGATAGAGTAAAATAACAATAGTAGTATGAGTTATAGGATAGGAAAAAAGTTTAAGAATAAAGTTATTCTAAATAAGTTTATTTTTGTAGTTTCTTATAAGTACAAAAGAGTAAAAAGTGTAGAGTTTATAATTTTTGGGGGGATATTTTTATATAAATAATTCTTATGAAAACTATTCTTTTGCAATTTAAGAAAAAATAACTATTTGAATGCTTCCTCAATAACACTTTCTAATAGTATTTGTGTAATATGTAATTAAAAAATTGAGTTTTTCAAATAATAAAAAGCGGAAAAATATGATTATTTTTTAATATTTGAAACTGATGCTGCAGATTTGTTTTTTAATTGCTTTAAATTTTTTATTGGTGAAAAAGTTTTTTTACGTAGTTTCAGGGATAAAAATGTACATATTTTTTTGACATTAACATACCATAAACTCATATAGAAATATAAATTAGTTGGATAACATTTTTTAAAAATGTATTGAAGCAGCTAATAAAAAACGCATTATTTCATTATGTTCTATGCGTAAGTGCTTCTGAATTTCATTAAAATCTTCGATAAAATTATTCATAAGGAATATTTAAGATTATGAGTACATTTTCTTTCATTCATTTATTTATTTCGTCATTTTTAAATTCGATAATGTTTCTCCGATCTCTTTGTCTTAGAGAATTTTAGATTTCAATGAACTTTTTATTTTGCTTTGAAGCACTGATTGCCCTCCTTTTCGTTTTCTTCTTCTTTTTCTTTGGTAGAAGTTATTTAATGGGATAAACTATCAGAGTACATGGTAACTCTTTGGGGAATCTTTTCGATATTGCATTATTAGCTTTATTCAAGAAGATTATTTTAAAACTAAAGGCGACAGTAATCTCCCAGAAGAAGATTTATTTCCATTTTTTTATTTTGGGACGATGATCCTCAGGTAAATACAAACAAGTTATTGCTTAATGATTTATTTTTAACATATAAATTTGACCGTTATACCAACTTCAAAGATCATACGTATTTCTTATATGGTATGCAAACAATAAAATGTGAACTTTTAAGAGCATTAAACCTGAAATCATATTATAACTGGCCTAAAGTAAATATTCAAAACTAATTATAATAAACTACTGAAACAAAAAGAAGCTACGATATAGCTAAAGAAAAACAAAATGAAATCTAATTACAAACACAACATACATCAGGAACAAGTAAAAGATTTCCTGAAGTGATTTCAAAATAAAATAAATATTACTGTCTATTTTTCAACGGAACTACTTTTTTTATTTTATTACCAACGTTGAGCCGCAGATCCCATACTGAGTTTATGACAACTCCGTATTCTTGTAGTTTTGAACCCAACCCAGAGGACAAGGGAACTCCTGAACGAGGCATTGAGAAAAACTAGCCTTTATAGAGAACTTTTTTGATGAAGCATTTGCGTTACATAGAGTGGAAAAGCACAAAAACCCATAATGGTCAATATGAAAACAAGGGCATTCTAACCCATAATCCGTATGACCACAGAAGACATTTTTACGTAAGTTCCGTGGTAGTTGCGAGTCGGGGCAAAATTCGTATGAACCAGTGACCTCTGGAATTCGAATCTAAATTACCTAACTAGGAGGCAAACTTTCAATTATATGAACCCCCATGGCTCCAATAAAACTAATGACACGTTCGATACTCGAGTGCAAAAAGTAATTTTCAATTACTAAGAGTAAAAATTAAAAATTGTTCGAGAAAATTATACAGTGAGTCTTTAAATTCGGAGGCTGATGGTACACTGTTAGAAATTTCTCAGAAAAAAGGGTTAAATAGCAATTTATTTAATTGTTATTTTACCACATTCAAACAAGAAGTGAAATAATCATAAATAAGATGGTATTCAAACTGTTAATTGCGAGAAATACCGTTTATTAACTGCTTTCACCTAATACAATTAAACAACCAGAATTGCATCACGCCAACGAAGCCCACCTGATGAAGCTACTTAGTTCCTTGCAGCTATGTATAACTGAGCTGGTACATAGAAGAGAGGGCTAAACTGTCAGTCTCATGACCAACAAAACGGAGGTTCGTGTCTCAGCGTTGACACCACAATATTTCCTCCATTACTTTCATAACATAAAAAGTATTCAGCGTCTTGCACTCTCCAATGATCATTACCTAACAAAAAGCCTATCTCCAATATCCAATTAAATTTATTTTTTACCGTTTTTAAACCATGTTAGTTGTAAATGGTTAAAAAGAACATACAGTTTTGAATTCTTGGTTTTATAACCATACTAGTTGTAAACGGTTTGAAAACAATTAAGGAAAATTGTTTTACCATAGACTTTACTGTTGATTGGATGAACAGACTGTTGTCCATTATTTTATCAGTTTTAGAATAAAAATTCTAACAGTGTTGGTAAAATGCATACCAAGAATTACATCTTGCACAGTAAAACAAAGTTGGAAATAAGAAATATATACAGAAAAACTTCGAGAAGAAAGAAAATATTTTTTTACACATTACTATAGTATCAGCTCCAATGCGCCACCAAGAAAATCGATTCAGTCCAGGTAACGTCCAAAATATGACTGGACTACAATTTGGAA